AGTTGTGCTGCTGGTTTTTGAGTTTGGATGACTCTTACAGCAAAATGTCGATGTGTCGACATTTTAGGGATTTTAAAATCGGAGGCATTTTATCATTTTTAAAAAGTTTTGTTATGAAACTTTCATTTTAATCTGCTGCACTTCAGAAAACCCCAAAAAACCCCCCAGCTTTATCTAGCCATGCTCGGCTTGCGAGCCTAACGAGCCGAGCATGGCTCAAACTCAGCTCGTTCTGTCTCACGAGCTGAGCCGAGCTGGCTCGATATTAGACGAGCCAAGTCGTTAACAAGCCAAACTCAAGCCAAGCCGAGCCGGCTCGCAAGCGGCTCAGACCGTTAAGCACTCCTAAACGCACCCTTAAGAGTTTATTTCATTTATTTTGACAAAACTGTTTTATATCAAAAAAGGATATTTCATATTAAAAGATTTTAATCTGCAAGTTTTTACCAGCCAACAGTTATGATTTTACGAATTCATTTTTTCTTTTTTAGTTTTAATCAATTTCAAACTTACTTAATAAGCGTTTTTAGTAAATTCAAAAGCATTTCTTCCAGATGTGTTTTGAATTTAAGAAAATAAAAAAGTTTTTTTGAAAGTAATTTATTATCAAAATTAGTAATCTATAAGAAACTTAAACTTAGTACATCTTGACTAATACATCTAAGAGTCTTTTTCGAATCACTGGATCACTTAAAGGTAATTAAATAGATATATATTCACATTATTTTTTCAAGATATAATGTTGTTGATAAGTGCTTTTTGGGAGAGAGAGCTTCTAAACAAGGCCTGAAATTTATTATACTTTAACTAATCACAAGGAAGTTTCCTAGTAAAGTGGTAGAAAATAAAAAAAATAAAAACTTATCCTTCCATGCTTTCCTAAATTTGATGGGTGATGTAGATTCTCAGTGAACCTTTGAAGCTATGTTATATCTCATACTTTATCTATAATCAATGGAATCTATTATTTATAAATTTTCTTTTTTAATTTTATTGAAAATATTATTTTAAGAATTCAATTATGTTGGTTTTTGTGAATAAAAGAATCTTCCAAAGCAAAAGCTGAGGGCAGCATTCAAATCAATCATCTATATAAGGAATTATTTGGTTATTACATTCAACAATTATTGGTGTTCAAAACCAGTTAACCGCCTCTTTTTTTAATCGAACCAGTTTTTCAGTTCAAAGAAACCTCTAAACTAAAACTGAATTGGTTTTGGGGAAAACCAATTTTGAACCAAACTTATTTTTCAGTTAGTAAAAATCAGTTAACCGGTTTTTCCATGGCTTTAGACGATTTGAACGAAGTTTCCAACTAAACAAAGAAACTTATTGCCTCAGTTTTGCTACACCAATATAAAAAAAAGCTTTCAAACATTGTTTTCAAGAAAATGAACCCAACCGTCCCATAGAAAATTAGAAATAAAAACAGGGTTGCAGATTAACAATACAGCTTCAGCTCCAACTATCCCACAGAAAACTATAGTTTTTTATTACAGCTTCAGCTGCTTTGGCTTTCGTCTCAACCCATGCTGGTTAGATCTCTGAATGTAACTTTCCTCTCTCGCTTCAGCTACTTTGGTTTTGGCTTTCTTCTCTCTCTTCTTTTTCTAACATTAACCCAAGCATACCGAACTGAAGTGGTTTGAAGAACGAAGAACGAAGAACGAAGGGAAGTGGTCTCAGTTGGTTTGGAGGGAAGACTGAGTGACTAAGTGAAGAAGGAAGAAGAAGTGAAGTACTGGTCTGTGTGTTGAAGTGCGGCGTAATGAAGTGAATGAGAAATAGAATTGGGGATTAGGTTTTTAACTGAAAATCGGTTTATAAAACCAGTTCAGGCTAACCAATTCTAAAATTTTGTTGCTGGTAAACGAATTGGAAAATCGATTAAAGTATTTTTTTGAACTAAAACCTAATCGATTTCACTAAAAAACCAATTTTCCAGTCTGATTACCAGTTTGATTTACAAATCTTTTTCACCGATCGCATTCAACATAATTATTCCCGACTCCTTTAGCAACCTACAATTCAAACATCAAGCATCAAACAAAATTAACTCCATCATATAAACAATCTAAAAATCATGTCATACTTGGCAAGAATATGTCACTTTGTTGTCTTTGTCGCTCAAAAACTTAATTTCCAATTCAAAGCATTAGACTAAATTAAATTTTAAAATATTTTTACTTACCTTTGTATGCGTACTTCTAATATATTAATTTCAATCCTTTTGTTAAGTTAACAAGTTGGATTAGATTGGTAATTCTATAAACATGTAAATATCGGGTCACATTATCAAATTTTTTGTCAAATTCAATAGTTCAAAATACCAGTTTAAAAAAATAATAATAAAAATAAATAAATTAGTTCCAAATACCTTCATCATGAATTTTTATTAAAAAAAAAAAAAGATGCAAACTAACGTCTCCAATAAGTCTCATGCACATTATTGATTGAGCATATGTGGCTGTGATTGATTTTCTGTTTTTATCCAACACCCTATAGTTTCCGAAAGCCATGGTTTTTAGGTAACATAAATACTACACTCACAAAAGCCATAATTTTTAGGTAATTATAGATGTTGTAATCAACTTACCCCAAAATTAAAAAAAAATAATAATAATCAATCATGCTCTAAATGTCATAGGGGTGACAGTCGAGCCGAGTCGCTTCGAGTGACTCAAGCTTGGCTCGCCAAAAGCTCGAGATTGGCTTGACAAAAGTCGACCTGAGCTCGAGCTCGAGCAACTCGACTACAGTGTCAAGCTGAGTTCAATCTCGCCTAACTCAGCTCAACAAGCTCATGAGCTTCAGCAAGCTCAAAACAGGAAAGGGGGTATATGCTTTTTTTACAAATATTAGGAGGTACATGTAATTTACCGGTTTGTAAAACTAACAAATACACTCCCATAGAAATCAAAGAAAGAATTAATTAATGGGCCATTCATCATTGGTGGGCTCGAGACATTGTGTTTGTGGCAGCAGAGGAGTAAATAAAGGATAGAATATTAATTGAGTGCTAATAAAAAATCATTTTCTATCCCTCTTAAAAATAAAAGATAAAAAATCATTTTCTCTGTTCCTTCTTAGCAAAAACAAACTGCAACTCCATAACCAAATTAATGAAATTCTTCCATAACAAAATTAAAGTCCCGATTTTTAACCATATTCCAACTAAAAAAAAAAAAAAAAAAAAACCAAAAGTTTTTCTTCGACTTATTCCACTTAAAGAATTTCTTCCCAATCTCAGTAATTACAAAATCAAGCCGTATGAAAGAGAGAAAAAAATACTAAGACTAAAAGAGAGATTGAAGAAAGGTTGAAAGAAAAATAAGAAGAGGAATCAAACCTGGATTGAAGAAAGGTAGAAGGGTGGACGTTTGAAAGAGAGATTGATGAAAAATATGAAGACTGGAAGTGAGTTTGATACTTTGATTGATTAAAGAAGGTAAATGAAAGAAAGAGAGCAGGTGGTTGAAAGCTTGAGCTAATTGAGCAATACTCGAGCTTGATTAGCCTGAGCTTGACCTCGAGTTCGAGTATCCAGGTATCGGCTCGGCTCAAACACGGCCCACCTAAAGGTACTGAGGGCAAGATGATATTTCTCTTTCCTCGTTCTTTATTTTTTCCTTTCCCTTTTTTTTTTTTTCCCTTGTTCCCCTCATTTTCCTCGTATCAAGCTTTCAATCTTTTTTATTTTGTTTATATGTGAGGGTTCAAACTTGAAACCTTCTATTTTAATACCATATTAAGTTATCATCCCACTTAAAGCTTAAACTAATAGATGAGAGTTCAACATATATTAAACTTGTATTTTTTTCATTTTGTTTATCCAATTTGTATTTGGAGATTCAAATTTACAATAGGAAGGAAATGAAAGGAAAAGAAGGGAGAAAGGAAATTGGATGGCAGTACGGTTTTAGGGGGTGACTGATTATATTTTGAAAATTCATGGGGTAAGTTGATTAAAAAGTTTATAGTTACCAGAAAACTTGAATTTCAGAAACTATAGGATGGGAAATTATTTTTTCTCTAAAACAATAATCAGCTTTTGAATGGTTTAGTAAACAAGACCTCTCATTTACCCAAAACAAGACCTCTCATAAGATTTTTGGACACTTCTACCACTATCTTTCACACTTAATCACGAATACTATAAAAAAGTCATTAAAATTGAAACGTAGAGTATTATGGTTTTTTGGGTTATTTTTTAAGATAATATATTGTTAAAAGACATATGAGATGTCCAAAATATGTTTAGTGTATAAAGAAAGCAAAAAAAGAATTTTGTTAATTCAAATTGGGTTGAAATTCACCTTTCCGAAAATTGATAAATAACTTAAGACAATTCTCAAGGCTGCTAGAGTAGAGTATAATGATATTAATCTTGCTCAGATGGACTTTTTTAATATTTTATATAGCTCATATGGATAGTTTACATGTAATCTATTATATAAAATATCAATATCTCCTATATAGAATATCAAAAAGACTAATCGAGCAAGATTAATATCATTATACCCAAGTTGAGCGGGGTTAATATTATTATATTGCACTTGAGCAACTCAAGTTTATTCAATTTTTCGAGAAATTAGTCCTTAAAAAATTTTTCTGCAATTGTTTTCCTAAATGTATTATCCCATTTATATTAAACACAAATGAACATGGTATTTACCTCTAAACAGATACAAATGACACAAAAAGAAAAAAAGAAAAAAGCAAATCTAGAAACATTAAGAGAAGAAAGAAGAGAAAAAAGTGAATGGTAAAATGGTCCAAAATTTGCATCAAATATCTTACTTACAAAGACAAATGGGTTGTTTTTTTAATTTGATTCTTAAAGTAGATTATAAGTAATTATTTTTTTTTTAGTGATTAACCACCAATGAAAAATTAACTTGTACTTTGTTATGGTAAAGATGGTAAAAAATAACCACCAATGTGCATCTTAATTTAAAAGCACTTAAGAAGAAAAAAAAAAAAAAAAAGGAGGATCTCATACCATTTAGCCCAAGAAGGAAGATCGTTTAACCCCTGTAATGCGGCAAGAGCCGCAAAGAAACTGAGAAATACGAACATTGCTAGAAGCACTTCCAGCGCTTTTAATAAAAGAAGTTCCTGCCATGTTGATAAATAAAAGGCTGTCATTGATGAAAGAGGTGTTGAAAATATATTAATTTCTTTTGTTAAGGGGTCAGGGCCGCAGCCAGGGGATGGCTCCCCTGCTGTCCAATCCTGGTGAAAATTTTAGGGAAAAAAATTAATTCCTTTTTAATTTTATATAAATTCATAGTCTATTATATATTTTGATTTAATTATTGTAAAAAAATCTTTTAATTATAATTATTTAAATTTTTTTTATACATTGTTTTTCCACATATTTCCACATCATTTTTCTTCTGTATTAAAATAAAAATAATATTACATATATGAACTAATATGACAATCTTATATGTTTGACATGTGATTTCTTTTAATTATATAGTTTATTTTTAATTCAAAGCTATCGAAACATCTTTCTTAAAATATATCATTTTATTTAAGTTTGTATAAAAAGTTTATATATAAAGATTTACCTTACTATGATACCAAATTAAGAAACAAATAACTTGGAATATGAATGCATAATTAAGGGGTAAAACTTCTGCCCATGCCTCAAAAGACAACTTCAGATATCAAAGAAGAAAATTAATTACTCACCTGTGAATGTAAAACTGGGCGATAACAAATACATAGGATACCTAAAAAAGCTGCATTAAAAAGATTGAGAAAGACAAGCCACAATGAGATCGTATCACCCATAACCAGATTGTCTAATGATTTTAAAGGCAAAATAAACTTTACCTGCTGTAATTAATGAACCTCTTGATCGCGCCAATATACCATGAAGACTCAACCAAATAGCCATGAGTCCAATTAAAACAAGAATTATGCTACAAAAAATTGTTACATAAGCACTCTTAGGTGGCTCCCACTCTGTCCAATCCTGGGAAAAAAATGAATTCCTTTTTAATTTTATATAAATTCATAATCTATTATATATTTTGATTTAATTATTGTAAAAATATCTTTTAATTACTCACCTGTGAATGTATCACTGAGCAGTAATAAATACATAGGATACCACAAAAAGCTGCATAAAAAGCTGCATAAAAAGCCACAATGAGATGATATCACCCATAACCATTGACACTAATGATTTTCAAAGGCAAAATAAACTTTACCTGCTGCAATCCTATTAACTCTTAATCGTGCCAATACACCAACAAGAACCCACAAAATAGCCATGAATCCACTTAAAACAAAAATTATCCTACAAAAAATTGTTACATAAGCACTCTTAAAAGCACCTGAAACTATACTCACTCATAACTAAACTTCTTCAAATTCCCCCATTAAATCCTCATAATTAATTAAATTCAATAATCACCATAATCAACAGTATTGACAACAATCCAGATTCACTCCATCACATAACCTAACATGCATAAACACAAAAAATTAACAATTAATAGATTAAACTTAACAAACCTGGAAGGTTGTTGCACCGAGGCCAGATAGGCAGTAGCCCACAAAATCAATCGCAATTTATCCCTTATCACTGCACACAAGCACAACAGAAACGGCTATAAGAAAAATAAAATGTTTCAAGAAAATCATTATAAAATGTTCAAATATTACTCCTTCAGGAGATGATTCTTCAGGTAGCTGAAGTGCCATAAATTGAAGAGATTTGTGGGTTAATTTCAACTTCAAAGAACGTGATACAATTTGAAAATATATTTCTATCGAATTAAATTTATGAAATTTGTATAAGCATCATCATGAATGATTAGCATGCAAGATTTACAAGTGACATTAAATATATAAATTACCTCTGAAGGGGGATATTATAAAAAAAAAGATAAAAAAGAGTATCAAGGTGACATTGAATTCACAAAATTCAAAAGTACACTTACTGTGTCTTCTGTATACTCGTAGTATGGTTGTATTAAGGTCATCCTTCCAAAACTTTTCATCATATCTGAGATTCTTTACTTCGAGTAATTTTTCAGCACGTAAGACTCCTTGACAGAATGTTTTCATCTTGTGGCAGTCATTCACTTCTAATTTTTCCAAAGATGGAAATTCCAAAGTGCAGTTCCCAGAATAGAAGCATTTGAGACTTTTTAGATCATTGAGTAAGAGGTACGTCAAATTTTTGAAAACAATCTTTTCATCTCCTCCTGCGTCTCCCTCATTTTTTACTACTTCTATCATCACATGACATGCTGTTATTTCCATTTCTCTCAGTTGCTCCAAGCTTTTGGCTATTGAAGATGTCATTAAGTTTACAAATCCATTGCAATGCGTTACTTTCAGAACTTTTAAATTTTGGAAAGCTACAGGGGACGATGGAGATAGACTAATCAATTCATCAAACCCCGTTATTTCGAGATGTTCCAGAAATTTTATCTGAAAGATTCCAAGTAGAATAATGTCAATGCCTCCAAATTAAGGTTAATTACAAATCAATATCGAGTTAGAGTTGATATTCCTTCAAACAGTTTCACACAATTAATACCCAATAAATTCCTTCTATACTTTTAACGACAAATAGAAAGGGGAAAAAAGTTCAATTGCTGGTCCTAACTAGAAATTTTATATGTATATATAGACATGTTTGATGTTTGAAGTCCCCAGCCCACCGTCGCCACCCTAACAAACACGCAAAATCTTCCTAATTAATCAACTAAATCTCTCCCCCTAAAAAAAGGCCGAGACAGACTGACATCACTACCAACAACAAAAATGTCAAACCAACAAACCCTGTTCTCAACACCAGTCAAGCATCAACAAAGAGAAACAGCTGAAAAATCCAACACAGTCACCGGATTAAACAAACCCAATACCGACCAAAAAAAAAAAAAAAATGCAAGCTAAGTCAACACAAACCTGTGAGGGTTGAGGGTCAAATCTGTGAGGATGGAGGTGGGGGTTAGGGAAGATGGTGAGGATGGCCTTTGAAGATCCGGTACTTCAATTAGTTTTATTGACAAGATTTTCATTACAAGATTCATCTCAACCCAACTAATAATTAATTTAATTTAATCTTTTTTTTTTTTTTCTAAATTCATATTGAAGAAAAAAGAGATATTAAACATCTTATAATAATGTTACTATAAATTTATGAATATAAAGATTTTGTTTTTTCTTTCTTTCCTCTTTTTCAGTAACGGAAGAAAAGAGACTCGTACCTTTTTCAACAAGTAGAGGTATCGTGGCTCTGAAATGTCAGGTTGCCGCTCATTATCTTCTGAATCGGATCCCTCTACTTTTTCATGGCAAGACACCAGCAATTCCTTTAACAGTGGCCATTCATGAGTATGTTTTCTAGAGTAGAAAGCTTTTAGCTTTGGTAGCTCTCTTAGACTCAAAAAGGTTACTCTCGGAAAGACAAACGCAGTAGCTTCGCTACCTAACTTAACAATCTTCTTCAAAGATATACAATTGCGAATCTCAAGGTGTTCGAGCTGCTCAAAATTTTTGACTAAAGATGATGGGAAAGCATACTTTAGGTTTTTGCAATCCCTCAAAGTCAAGTGCTTTAAATTTTTGTAGGAAGGTGTTAATGCTGGATTTTGGTGGTTCCAGATCCTCTTAACATTAATTGCTCTCAGATTTAAGGTCTTCAAATTTGGAAAAGCAACCTGCAATAAAATTTAATTTAATTTTAATATTTTCTCTTATAAAATATAGAATACATGCAATTCAAGCTAAAATTGTCTCTTTTGTCTTGATATATTTCACACCAATTATGACATAATTTATGAGTCCTATTAATGAATTTGAATGATTGTTGCATCAAACTCATAACGCTCCAAAACACATTAATTATTCAAGTTGCATTGAATCTCAACCATCCAATGATTCTAACATTTGGTCATAATTTATCATGCAAAATCTTTCTACTCAAATTTCAAATCAGTACAGTAGAATAATTTATGCAAAAAGTGAAAAGCAAATCAATAATATGGAGTAGTTAGTTAGAGTAAAGACTTTTTTCCACGTTAATGATATTTTTCACCGACAAACTTTTAAAATACCACTTTCCCATCCAAACGACACTTTTTAATGAAAATATATTAAAATATATAATAGAAAACTATGAGGTTATGTAGACCAAACCTTCATGTTGGAAAGTAATGGAGTGTCAAGTTCATCCTGCCATCTCTCTCGCAATGTTGAAGTTGTCTTCACTTCAGAATAGAAGCTTGTAAGATGTGAAAGAAAATTGAGAGTCAAAGAGCGTAACTGATAGAATTTAATCTGATCAATTACTTCATTGTTGTTTTCATTTTCTCCTCTTTCAACAGCAAAAATCTGTTTCAAATTGTCGCAAGATTCCACCTTCATTGTCTGAAGTTGTGGAAGGCTACTAGCATTGCCGAATGAAAAGATATTTTCCAATTTAACGCATCCTTTCACATCTATGATCTTCAGGTTGCAAAAAGACTCTTTTGTCGGATGACCAGAACATATGTTCTTCAACCGATTCAAGTTTAGTAGAATCAGTGACTCCAAGTTGCAGAAGACAACACCATCTGTGCAATTTGTTGAGTTAAAAATGCAAGAGAGATTAGGAGTATTGTGGAGATGGAGATGTTTCAGTTGAGAAGAACTCGGTTGTGAAGAACTTTCTCTCTCTAATTCGTTAAGAACATTCCCAATACACTGCAATTTCCCTATGCATAAGAATTCAACATTCTTGAAGCATCGAAACTTCTCTGACCAATTGATAGAATTGCACTCCAGTCTCAGTGTCCTTAAAGTCCCATCCTCATCAAACGGCCCCGAGTCTTGAAAATTGCACGATCCACAAGATAAGAGAAAATTATCACTTATGGATATATTGTACCTTAGCAAATCTTTGGAGAACAAGCCTTCTGGAAAAATATTTGCATCGTTAAACTGTATTTCTAAAGTGGCGAGACGAGGCAACCCGTTCAACTCATCAAGGATGGCTTTCCTTCTTTCAATATTGAGACCTCCAATTTTCTGTAGAACAAAACATCCTTTCATATACAATTCTTCCAATCTGTATAAACTTGATATCACATTTGGTGCTATAACTGTTAGTCGTTGACAATTACTTAAATCTAACAATATTAACTGAGTCAATTGACCTATTTCTTTAGGCAATTGCTCAATTGTTGAATATCGTAAACTAAGAATTTTTAATGTCCGCAACTGTCCAATAACAGCTATGTCATCAACTACACTATTATCTAGACGCAATGTCTGAAGCTTTGTTATGAGACGAATTGACGATGACCACAAAGAGGAAAACTTCATCCTAGTCAAATCTAAGACTTTGAGATTCCTCATCCCTTTAAAAAAATCCTCAGGAATTTCAACATGAGAATCACCAACCTTGGTATTCATATAGAACAATTCAAGTTCTGGACATTCCAACTTTTCACGAAGGTCAGTAATAGTGCTATCACGTATGAAGATCTTTTTGCAAATCTTTTGTTCATCCTCACTAGGCCATCTCCAATTCATCTCATTTCTCACGGAAAACACATGGTCCTCTCCTTTTGCAAGGGATGAAGCAACTTCACGGATAAAATCATGCATTGAAAAGGAATCGTTGGTTTGATCGTTAAGCAACAAAGAAGAGTCTTTAAGTTCACTGATCAATGCATACACCTTATTCCAAGCGTCTTCGATCGTGAAAATGTTTGGAAATATATTTAATCCCATAGCATATATGACCAAGTCTAAAATAAAACCTTGATGGCTCATTAGACTACAGAGCAAAAAAGTCTTCTTCAGATCACTTTTTAAGTAATTGTAACTTAATTGTATTGATACATATGCTCTACTCATATCTCCTGTGAAGTTTTCTGGAGAAGATCTTTTCAACTGTCGCAAGGCTTCTTTCCATTGTGGTGGATCTCTTTTATTCTTTAATGCGTTTGCTACAGTGACAATCGCCATGGGCAAGCATCCACACTTCTGACATATATCTTTCGGCAAAGATTTCAACTCACGTTTTTCAGTCAAATCACCTGCAGAAGGTAACAAGAAATACAATTTTTAAATTATTATTTAAATATAGTTCAATAAATAATTATGAAAATCATGTTGGGGAGCAATCAAATCTTAAATCACTATGAAAACAAAAATAAAACGGACAAAAGACAAAGAATAAACCATAAACACAAAGATTATAATGGATACTTCCCGTTAAAATCTAATTCATTTTGCCATTACAGGATTTCATAACTAGGAAGAAGGAGAAAATTATAAGAATCTCATATAAGCCTCACAAATTGGCTCTCTCTTACTAAACCTTCTTTGGTGGCTCTTACTCTTAATTATAGTTTTGTCTTCATTTATTAAATTACCTAACTATAGATTTAATTAACCTATTTTTATAGGTAATACATGAATTATTTTCTTATAGGACTCAAATCTCATACCTAATAAGAATTTTATTTTAATTCTAATATAATTATATTTTTTCCTAATACAATACTAATTGAATTGAATTTGGCTCCACAATCTCAACATCAATAAAAAATTAAGTGAAAAATGTGATACATGTTGTATTCTTGTTCTTAAACATCTTCCAACTCTTTTTCATTAAATTGCTAGTCTCAAAAACTTTACAACCCATTTCACTAACATATCTCATCTCTTGTTGTCAACAATAATTTACATCTCCATTATCATCTTCATCAGAAATCCCTATACTCTTCAAACATCATCTAAAAGATCAGGATCTTCTCGTTCTTCTCCTGATTATTCAATCATGCATACAACTTACTTGCTTTTTCAGTTCTGACTGCTCCGCGATTTGTTTTTGAATCTTTAAGAATTTTTACAAATTTGTTTTTTAACATATAAACAATGTTGAGTATTATTGGCCCATTTTATGAATTGTTTCCTTGTAAATTCACATCTTTTTAGGAAGGTGAAAATTTGTTTTTGAACAATCTTGTTGATGCTTGATATTGACACCAACTACTCGCGTGTGTAAGATGTTAAGCGGACTTAGAAATTACACATGATAGGAGAATATCAAATGAAATAATGAATGAGAGGTGATATTTAAAGTGGTTTGGATACTTAAAAGTGAATCATATGTCCACTGTTATTGTATTAATAAAAGGGTAAAATCAAGTCGCGCACAACCAGCTGAGTTACAATTTAGAGAGATACACAGAGAGGGGGAGAGAGAGAGAGAGAGAGAGAGAGAGAGAGAGAGAGAGAGAGAGAGAATGAGTGTAAGCTATTTTAGAGTGAGATTAGCCAATCCTGCAAATGAGAGGGGAGGCCTCTATTTATAGTGGGAGATTTCAAGGTAATGATTACAAATCTACAAGTGGGTAGATGTCATACAAATCCTTCTTTGTGTCCCAGTGGTTGCCTGCCCGAGAGATATCCTCAACTCGCATAGTGTTTGGACATGTGGGCGATCTCTAACCACTCACAAGCCTGGCACTCACCCACTACGCTGACAAGAACCATGCCACTTGTGCCATCGCACAATGTGGCCGCACTTGGGCGGCACAAAACTTTCCTGAGCCCTGATTGACCCTTGCTGATGAGGTTCTACATCACCCTAACTTTTCAGGCATAACAGAAGTCCCCTAAGTTTTAAGGTTTAAGGATTAAACCTTGATAACTTCATAATTATGCCATGACTTGACCTATCCCAAATGACGCCTCGTAGAGTTGATCGGGCTATAAGGAGGTCACAGCACATGTCTCTACAAGCGACCTGAGATGGTCTTCTTCCACAAAGTCGACGACCTAGATTAGACCCTACTCAGTGTCGCACTGATGTGCTTTAAACTTCAACCGAAGTCTACGACCTGAAAGTACTTAGCATATTTTTACAAAAGACAAGGAATCATACTGTCTCGTAATCGATAAGCGGCGAAGAGTGTTCTGTCCCAATGACCTCTTCAGATGTTATCTATTGCGCTTGACAGCTAATCCGTTAATAAAATAATCTTTATTCTGACAGACGTGTCCTACGCGTAATAAGTGACAGCCATGCATATTAAATGCAAGCTATTTTGAAACGACATTCCTTTTCAGGACATTAAATGCAGATGAGGGCGCATTCAATGTGGAGGAGAGAATCGAGCCGTCGCTTGGTTATTTCAATGGAGGGGAGCGCCGATTTAATTTCTCGAAGCATGGCGATTACTTCTTGTCGCCGATTGATGACACGTGGTCACAATCAATGGCGCGAAAAAGGAAGATTTCTCTATTACTTTCCCCTTTTTTCTGTGTTGTAGATAGCTTGGCTTGGCGATAATGGTGGGTGTTGAAATTGCTTAATAAACCTTCGAGGTGCGTGTTTATGGGCAATCGAATGGAGAAGGTTTTTTTTTTTCTTTCGTAAGGAGTAGGTTTTTAGGCACAAATCTTTGGGGGTGATCCCCAAGGATTTTTTAGGGGTTTTCTAGGGTTTAAGGAAGATACATTAGGGTTTTTTTTCTTCCACGTCATCATACAGAATACTGTACAAAGATTAAGTAACCTTTGCATGTCACCCTTTTTAGACCATAGAAGATATGGATGTCTCAGCGACCAGGACAACCGAGGGGACAAGCTCGTAAGCGCAGGATGCTCCAATAGGTCCTGTGCAAGAGATTCTATCACTGGCCACCCGAGATGAAATACAGAGGGTAGTGGACCAATACGCACGTAGCGTAGATGTCTACCAACACAGTGCATATACAGCTCGGAATCCCCTAGAGGGAATGGCCGCAATCTCTGAGGCGATATTCAAATGCGAGGCGCTGATACCCTTTCACTCCTTTATTAGGTCAATCCTCGATCACTTAGAGGTCACACCATTGCAATTAACACCCAACACGTATATGATAGTTGTGGCTCTGTATATCGCATGTAGTGGGAACGACCTTGGCTAGTTAACTACACTAGAGCTTGCTTGCTCTTATTATTTGAAGAAGAGCAAGGACAAAGATTCTGACTACCTCTCGAAACAGTCTACGATTAGGGGAGGCATATTTGGTTACCCAAGTAATGTCAAGTAATACGAAACCAAATTTTTCTTTTTCCAATATGATGACATCTGCCAATTTAGGGAGCCGAGTAGGTCTTCCCTTCTTTTACTTAGCAAATTTTTTCTTTTCCTTTAGTCTTTGCTTTTTAACGAGCTTTCCCATCTCTTCGCAGGAAACAAGATGAATAGGTTGACGGCTCTAACTGGCTTCAACTGAGTATTAGCATTCGATAATCTGTTAAGCAGAGTTGCAACGCGAGACTGCTTATGACAACTGCTAACTTGAGGAAGTATGGTTTCTTCAATTCTGAAGCGACCTTAGAACCCTTAGTTCGTAAGTGTCTGCGAACTTTAAAAGTTCTCTCTTTTGCATGCAATGCCCTTTTTCACTAACTGTACTTTTTATACAATGACCATGCCACCCAAAGTGTCAAGATTGTCAAGAGCTAGAGGGTTTATTTTTCCCCGAGTTGCCCCCACTGAGCCAATTGAGGCAACCCCTAGTGACACCCCTGTCGAAAGAGCGTAGGTGGGAGCACGAACACCTACCAAACTACTAGCGGAAGCTTCCCAGCCTAAGGCTGCTCGCCCTAAGCAGAAAACTACGGGCCAAAAATCTAGGAAGAGAAGGCAGCTGCAGGCTGAGGAATCAAAGTCTGAGCCAAAGGGCTTGAGGGTGCAGCCTAGGAGGTCACATCCTTATTAGGCTTTCCGCTTGGGGGCAACCCCGAGGCGCACAGCTGGCGTTACACTAGTCCCGGAGTGTTCACGCAAGGGATAGGGGGAGGCTGCGGCCCACGGAAGAAGAGTGGAGAAAGAGCCGGCTGGTGAGGTGCCAACTGCTTCAAGGGCTGGCACACCTGTGTTGGATTCCATGGGACAACTTCCGGAACACTTGTAGCCAATGGTGCATACCCTTTTGGAATGCCAACTTGCCAAGGTTTTTGAAGAGTTCATGGCCTCCCAACCTTCAGACCTGATGATCAGTGCGCTGCAGCTGCAAAGCCAGATAAGACGGATTGTCCTCGTCGAGGACTTTCCAATATTGGTTGGTTTTCATTTCCTTTGTTTTTTCAAAGAAATTGAGTTTAACCGTTGCTTCCTTTATTATGCAGTCTTTGCTCACCCTGCACTTGGCCCAATAGAAAACCCACCTATACTCTGCTGGGGGGCTTCACAAGCTAAAGGAAGATAATGCACAACTGAAGCAGGACCCAGCATCTATGGATAAAGAGGTGAAGGTGCTCCTCCTTCAGGTGAACTAGTATATGTCGGAGAGGAACTCTACACTTTGCACAGTAGATTTTCATAAGTCCGAGCCAAAAAAGAAAGGAGACGAGACTAAAGAGCTCCAGAGGATAGTGGACCGACTTGCCAAAGAGTGTGGCAAGAAAGAGCAGGAGCTCCAAGCGAACTCCAAATGGGCCTTGAGGGTAGAGGAAGAAAAAGCTCGATTGTGGGAAAATATTGAGAAGCAAAAGAAAGCACTAGAAGTAGACCTTGAATTATCCTGAGGGCAAGTCGCTTCATTAACTGATCAGATGAAGAGACAAAACCTGAAAATTGAGAGGAAGGTCACTGACTAGGCGATTCAGGCCATTTATGCCCTGCGGCCAAAGAACCCGAAGATAGACCTCACCAACCTCCTGACCTACTATCAAAACATCCTTGCTTCCATGGCAGAAGCTGATGATGCGATCGAGGAGGAAGGACAAGGGCCTCATCCAGAGAGCAATTAGCCAAAAGAGTATGTTCCAGAGGACCCAGTAGTTGACCAAGTGGTCGGTGACCAACCGGGGGATACTGAGGTCACGCCCTCAGGGTCTGGAGGTGGACACCAATGATCGTTTCTACTCTTGCACAACCTTGCTTTTGACTATCTTGGCACTTCATATTTCCCTAGTTAGTAAATACGGGTACGACAAAAAAAGAGTACTGGAATTTTACGAGT